CATTTCATATAGTACCCATCTTTAACTATGTCCTTTTGAACAAGGTGCACATCAAAAGTAGAAAGTTGAAAAATACCGATTGAAAAAATTTTTATAAATATTATGTCTGAAAAGTTTCTTACAGCTGCTGCTATTTTATTTGAGGTTTTCTTTCTAAAAATAAATTGTAAGAGTAGGAATAGTGTTATTTTATATTTTAAATAGCCCCAAGAGCACTATTGGTACTTAGCAAGCAATAATACAAATCGTAATACAGCATGGTATTTTCCAAACCAGAAAGTTACCTACCAAATAGAAAAACGGAAAGGCCTGTGCTCATGTTATTTCAGGAACAAAATGGTAATTCAGAATGTTTTCCAGTGTTATATTGCTGTAACATCCAAATTTTGATTTTTACATTATTGTCATTTTAAGAGTTAATTCTAAGGTTTCTTGATACTATAACTATAGGCTTACCAGAAAACTTGATAATGGTTCTCTGAACAGTGCAACTCCTAATAAAAATATACTGAATGTACTTTAAAAAACAGCACACTGGAGTTTGGAACCAGCATCCCAGTTTTGGATTACACACATCTAAACTAAACTTGTTGCTGAAGGCCGTCATCAGAGAAAACATGACTACTTCGCGAACCTAATTTTAAGGCACTGGAGCTGTGATGACCTTCAAATCAACCTTTGTGTATAGAGGTCTCTGTGTCAAGCTGAGAGATGACCTCTCAAAATTGACCTGGATAGGGAAGATGTAAGAGGAACAATAAAAGGCTTCAGGACAAAATGGGATATGATCAATATGTTGAGTAAGAAAATTAAAGTTTTTGTCAGAGGGGTTAAGGAAAGTGGTACTTAAGAAAATCTCAGCTTAGATTTTTAAAAACTGACTTGGCAAATAAATTTCGGTTGTATACATGTAAAAGATGGATAGACTGAAATGTTGTGGAAGGCAAGCTCCCAAAATAAACAGATGGAGAGCAAATACTAAGGAGATATTAAGGTGATATCTTGGTTCCTGGTGAAATATAAATGTGTGGAAACAGGTAGAGATTTGTATTATACTAAACCAAAGTAATGAGATTCTAATGCTAGTTTTCATAGCACTAAGGTGTCTTGGGCAGATTGCTAGTCCAAGTTAGAAGACTTGGCTTTTTACCTTGGTTCTGACACGACATATAGAAATGAGCATGATTTTTCTTACCTATAAACTGGGTTTTTTTTGTATCTACTCAGTCTCTATCACTTAAAAATGTACCTTAAAAATCTAAGGACATAAGGGTCTTAAAATGCTGAACAACTATAATGGTAAAGTACAACAATGTGGTTGAATAGTAGGAATACCATATAAATTTTTCTGGCAGGAAAGATTTAGATTCAAACCAGTTTGGAATAATGAGGAGGAAAGGCTGGCTTCCCAAATAGATAAGTAACCAATGAATGAGAAGTATCAACAAAAAGAGTACATTTTTCAGAAGCCAAATATGAGAAGATGGAGGGAGGGATGAGCAGTGTCAGAGAGAAATGGAAGGGTCAAGAAAAGATCAGTCTTGCTGAAGAAGTCTAAAAAATTATTAATGTAAAAAATATACCTAATAAATAAATTTAATAGTTAATTACTAAAATACAAAAGTTATTGAAGGAACTTCAGGTGAAGAAATGAGATGAGAGAACAACTAGAAGAGATTATTAACTGGTAAGAGCTGCTATTTGGAAAACAATGTGACATGTTTCTAATTTGTCTATAATTTTTATGCATTTTATTTTTGTATGCATATTTCATTCCAAATCCTGAGAGATGTCTGTAATGCATGCAGGCTTCTTGATTCCATAAGCAGTACAGTCCTTACATGAGTATCTATTTTAAGATGACAAGCTATGTTGATTTCTTTTGATCCCTGGTAGTCATGGTGCATTGAAGGTTATGTGATGAATTATAAAAATTAATTTTCTTACCAACATCGTAGTTATATATTCCTTGTACTCAGGAAACACTGGCCTTTTCTTCCACAAGCCAGTGTCCAGAATTATTTCCTTTGTTACCAGGACTTTGACCAACTTTTCATTCTTAGGTCTTTCCAAATTATCCTGAAAAATAAAAAAGAAGAAACAAAAATTCTTTATTGACATTTCATATAGTACCCATCTTTAACTATGTCCTTTTGAACAAGGTGCACATCAAAAGTAGAAAGTTGAAAAATACCGATTGAAAAAATTTTTATAAATATTATGTCTGAAAAGTTTCTTACAGCTGCTGCTATTTTATTTGAGGTTTTCTTTCTAAAAATAAATTGTAAGAGTAGGAATAGTGTTATTTTATATTTTAAATAGCCCCAAGAGCACTATTGGTACTTAGCAAGCAATAATACAAATCATAATACAGCATGGTATTTTCCAAACCAGAAAGTTACCTACCAAATAGAAAAACGGAAAGGCCTGTGCTCATGTTATTTCAGGAACAAAATGGTAATTCAGAATGTTTTCCAGTGTTATATTGCTGTAACATCCAAATTTTGATTTTTACATTATTGTCATTTTAAGAGTTAATTCTAAGGTTTCTTGATACTATAACTCTTGTGAATTTAAAGTAATTTTCTTCTAAGTTAACTGACTTTACATTATGGGCATCTTGCATCTAATCATTATTTTAGGAGAAACAAAAATAATTTAAAAGTATCATGCTAAATGAAATAAGTCAGGCGGAGAAAGATAGATACCAAATGATTTCACTTACATGTAGATTATAAAAACAAATCAGAACAAAATGAACAAAACTACACTAGACTTGTAGACACTGAGAAGTGACTGGTGGTTACCATGGGGAGGGGGGTTGGGGTGTGTGGATGAAATAGGTGAACGGGATAAAGAGGCACAGAATATCAGTCATAATATAAATTAGTAATGGGGGATGAAAGTACAGCCTAGAGAATACAGTCTGTAGTTCTGTAACATCTTTATATGTTGACAGTAACTACACTAGTTGGGGTGAGCATTTAATCATGTGTGTAACCTTTCAATCACTATGTTATATACTTGAAACCAAGATAACACTGTATATCAACAATATTTCAATTAAAAACATAGGTAAAAAACTAATTTAAAACTAAGCAGAATAATCTAAGGCATCAGTTATGATTAATTCTCAGATCTGAAAGCCAAAAATTAATAAGCACAGAAAACAGCCACAGCAAGTACACTCACCACTTAGCTAGTAAGTGAGTTGAACTTTACCCAGCAGAGGCTTTTTGCTTTATTTTGTTTTGTTTGTTTTTAGCCCCTGACTTCTCCTGAAGCAAATTATTGACCAGGATGATAATACTAGAAGACAATAAATCGTATCTACTCCTTATAGATATTATCTTTTATCTTACTCTGACTTCCTTGCCTGAATTTGTCATTTCTAAAAAATATTTTTTCAAATATAAATAACTATCACATTTTCCCCAAATCACTATATCCTAGATCTATCCAAATTGAATTTGCTTAACAATCATTCGGGGCAGGGCTCCTTGCACTGTTGGTATCCCATAAAATACATGCAACTCAGAATGGAAGCATGGCTTTTCTTATTGTGCAGAAGTCACAGAATTACCCCTAATGTGTCTCAGTGTGAAACTTGCTTATGTGACTCTGGGCATAACCAAAAGTGTTATAAATAAGTAGGGCCTTATATATAGAAGCACTCCAGTGTTTTTCAGGCTTGACTTAACAGGCAACTTCCTTGCCATTTTCTGGCCACATTATCTTAGAGAACAAGTTTGCTGGCAAAGATCCAAAATGCCCATGAGCAGTTTTCTACAAACTTCTTCATCTATGTAAAGGACAATCAGATATTCCAGCTCATCCCCCATTACGTGATTTGGCTCTTAAAGCATGCTCTGTTTTATGATTTAAGTATTAAATTTAAAACACTCCCAAGTGTCCCCTTTTGAAAATTTATAGGAATAATTCAGTGCTGTATTTCTCCAAGGTAAATTAAGTGCCCTGTCTGATATGCTACATTTGAATAACACCTTGTAAACTAAGGACTGATTGAACCTTCTGAAAATGGAACTGAGAAAACTGAGAGAGGCTCTCCTCTGAGGAATACTAGTATATCATTCACTCTATAAAATGTAAATTTTTTTATTTCCAGTCAGTTCCTAGAATCCAAGAATGCTTGTGCATTCTTTATTATTTTCTAATGTGCAGTACACAAGGGGAATATCTTTCGAGGAATTCTGAGAGAAGAGTCTCAGTTGAAAATTGAATCACCCTGAGCAAAGCACCCAGGTTCTTTTATGAGACCGTACCACTAGCCTGTGGTCTTCCTTTTGGAAACCATTTATGTGGTGATTTGGGAACTTGTGCTGCCTCCTGACCTCATTCTGAAGCTTCGGTTGAGAGGTAAAGTAAGCTAGTGGTTAAAATACGGTACTAGGTACCAAAGATCCTAAGAAATCAAAGTCATTGTGATTTCATAGAACTTAATTTCTGGTCCTGTGTGTTTCTGCATCACTATATTCTACCCTGACCCCACAGACCTATTGTGAAATTTAATGGCCATTACTGTTTTGAGAATCCCAAGTGAATGCAGCAAAGTAAGAAAGAAATAGTTTTTATGTTTTGTTCATACTTTTTTTCTGAACTATTCTATTTCTTACTGGACCTATTTCCTTAATGAAAGTTATGCCATAACTTCTCCAGACTATAATCATTTGGATTCAAGTCTGAAACCCTGAGTATAAGCTACACCCCAGGAAATAAATTATATTTTGGAAACAAACATTAATTTGACAACAGCTGGTCTAATAGTTCTTCATTTGACAACAATACATGCGCGCGTGCGTGCGTGTGTGTGTGTGTGTGTGTGTGTGTGTGTGTGTGTGTGTTCTGAGTCTGTCACAAAATATTTCCATGGTGAAATACCTAACTAAAATTTCTAACTTTAAATAAACTCAGTAACTACTTGAATCACAATTTTTTATACAGCATTTTTAAAACTAAATTTTATCACCATTTCCTTGTAGTTTATTAGAACATAAAATCTTAGAAATGGAGGGAAAGCACAAAGAAGAGTTGGACACGTTAAAGGAAGAGAAAGAGAATCTTCAAGGCCTGGTTACTCGTCAAACACATATAATCCAGGAACTGGAGAGACAGCTGAACAGAGCCACGACCAACAGCAGTGTCCTTCAGAAGCAGCAGCTGGAGCTGATGGACACAGTGCGTAACCTCGTCAGCCTTTGCACTAAAGAAGGTGGGAAGAATTTCTTCCTCAGTTTTGGTACAGTAAATATTTCATGTACTATGAAGTAAGAAATATTCAGTATAACTTTCTGTGCTGAACTGATTGCTGTGTAAAAGCAGCAAAATAACTTTATTCTTAAAAGCATTTCATGAAGTTGGCAGTGACAACTTTCTCATGTTTTTAACTTCAAAGAATATATTCATAATCTTGAACTTGCAAAATCATAATATCTTTCTAAAAAAACTTTATAATTTTTGCTTCTTTCTTAGTCTTTCTAGCCTTAGGTAAAACCTAAGATAGTGTCACAGGTAAATATTTCATGTGGTGGTGGTAGACACTTAACTATAAAGGACAGAAATTAGACAATGTTAAAAATTAGTTCAGAGTGCCAGGGAGAGTTTCAGGACAATTCCCATTTTAAAACTAACATTGTTTCTTCTGGAGAAGGAGAGAGGGAAGAGCTGCCTGCAGAAAAAAAAGAGATGTAGAGGTTCCCAATAATTATATGGAAGAGAAGGAATCTTTGTTGCTAAATGTCTTTATTTAAATTATTTATGCTTAGTGGAGAAAACTTACACTTACATTTAGTGCTGTGTGGAGAAAACCTAACCAAGGCATATTTATTTGGGGTGTTTTTGTGACAGTGGAAATACAAATTTTTAATATCACTAGAGTATCTGGAGCTATTTAACCACTGGAAATACTGCAGGCCTGTGTCTCTTTAGAAGAGACCGATCCTTCTGTCCATCCATTTACCCCCAAATTACTGAATGAGGGCCTCTGTGTGCACTTGTCCACTTCAAGCAAAAGCTCCCCTGAGCCTCAGGATGGCTTTTCAACTTAACATCATCTTCTATCCTCTGTTCTCTAATCAGCCTTTCTCTAATGGGGATGGAATGGTAAGGGGTGCTGAGTGAAAGAGAACACCACTTGCTCCCTCAAGTTATGGTTGTCACTAAGCTGTGACTTATTGACCATTCATGTGATGATCCCCTGTGCAAATGAAATATACATAATGTGGATGTTCCTTCAGTTTAATAGTGGACTTGAGCTGTATGAGAAATTAGCTCATTTCCCTACTTTCATGTATAGATATGAATATAGAGGATAACTCCATATTAAGTGATCTTTGTTTTAAAGACATTTCACATTTCTCTATTACACTCCATTACCTTGAGTTATATCTCCTTTAGATAGTCTAAACAAGCTCTTAATATACTTTGTAAAGAGTATTTTAAACAGTAAGTTCTCAGAGCTCCATTTGGGTACTCTCAAAAATGTGATTGGGAAGGAAAAAACCTGCTAATCAGTCAGAGCCTGCCAAAACCTTTAGTTAGAGTCCACTGGAAGGGAAGCATGGTAGGGTTTTGCCAGAGAATTTTAATAGAGCTCATGAGTATTTAGAAATTAAGTATGAATATGAGACATATCTATTCTCATATTGAACTGAATACATTTGGGGGAAAGATTGAAAACATATTTTTCTTATCACCCTGAGAATTAAAGCACATGGAGTTGAGTAGTTCTTTTTTTATGGTAGAAATATAAAGCCCTGGTGATTCTCACAGAGCTCATATATCTGCCTGCTTATCATAATTTCACTTCGTTTCTGACTATTTGTCTAATAAATATGTCTTTAAACTTTAGAGGCGGGGGAGTGACTTCAAAATTAAAATTCTTGGCCATGCTTGGAGTTTGGGTGCAACACCAGGCAACCAAACATCTGTTCAACTCAAGAAACATGTACTGAACAATTACAACTGTGCTCCTGATAGATGCTCCCGGTACCGTCCACTCGGTGTCTGAGGGGAGAGCTGTGTGTATCCTATGATACAACATTCCTCAGAAAGTGACAGTAGAGAGAAGTTGTCTAGTACTTAAGGCCTCTTGATATTTATTTTCCTTTTTAATGATGCAGTCCTAAAATAAATCCTGATTTAACTACAGCACTCATGATCCTAATGTAAGGCTATTCCCCTGCTTTCCAGTGGGTTCTGTGCTCTCATAATCATAGATTTTATTTGCTTCTTGTTAATCTTTTTTTTGCCTTTAATCCCACAGCCAAGTATTTTAACTAAATATTTGGTCATTAAGGACTCATGAGAAATACCAAAAGGAAAAGTGCCTCCCACTAAGGTTTCCATCAAGATTTTAATTCTCTGTATACATTTTCACTGGTGCCATAATGTTTAGTTATGGTGAATTTAAAATTTTAAATGACTGACAGCATTACGCTGGTTTAAATATCAGTTACTAAAATGAACTTTTATCCCATTCTAATTCTAGAACACATAAGTATAAAACTGTTCCCTACTTTTGTGACCATAAATTCACTTTTCAAATAGATTTATTATTTTTTTATATATTCTATTTTTAAAATTAAATATATACAAATATGCCTAAATCAATAACTCCATATTAAGTGATCTTTGTTTTAAAGACATTTCACATTTCTCTATTACACTCCATTACCTTGAGTTATATCTCCTTTAGATAGTCTAAACAAGCTCTTAATATACTTTGTAAAGAGTATTTTAAACAGTAAGTTCTCAGAGCTCCATTTGGGTACTCTCAGAAATGTGATTGGGAAGGAAAAAACCTGCTAATCAGTCAGAGCCTGCCAAAACCTTTAGTTAGAGTCCACTGGAAGGGAAGCATGGTAGGGTTTTGCCAGAGAATTTTAATAGAGCTCATGAGTATTTAGAAATTAAGTATGAATATGAGACATATCTATTCTCATATTGAACTGAATACATTTGGGGGAAAGATTGAAAACATATTTTTCTTATCACCCTGAGAATTAAAGCACATGGAGTTGAGTAGTTCTTTTTTTATGGTAGAAATATAAAGCCCTGGTGATTCTCACAGAGCTCATATATCTGCCTGCTTATCATAATTTCACTTCGTTTCTGACTATTTGTCTAATAAATATGTCTTTAAACTTTAGAGGCGGGGGAGTGACTTCAAAATTAAAATTCTTGGCCATGCTTGGAGTTTGGGTGCAACACCAGGCAACCAAACATCTGTTCAACTCAAGAAACATGTACTGAACAATTACAACTGTGCTCCTGATAGATGCTCCCGGTACCGTCCACTCGGTGTCTGAGGGGAGAGCTGTGTGTATCCTATGATACAACATTCCTCAGAAAGTGACAGTAGAGAGAAGTTGTCTAGTACTTAAGGCCTCTTGATATTTATTTTCCTTTTTAATGATGCAGTCCTAAAATAAATCCTGATTTAACTACAGCACTCATGATCCTAATGTAAGGCTATTCCCCTGCTTTCCAGTGGGTTCTGTGCTCTCATAATCATAGATTTTATTTGCTTCTTGTTAATCTTTTTTTTGCCTTTAATCCCACAGCCAAGTATTTTAACTAAATATTTGGTCATTAAGGACTCATGAGAAATACCAAAAGGAAAAGTGCCTCCCACTAAGGTTTCCATCAAGATTTTAATTCTCTGTATACATTTTCACTGGTGCCATAATGTTTAGTTATGGTGAATTTAAAATTTTAAATGACTGACAGCATTACGCTGGTTTAAATATCAGTTACTAAAATGAACTTTTATCCCATTCTAATTCTAGAACACATAAGTATAAAACTGTTCCCTACTTTTGTGACCATAAATTCACTTTTCAAATAGATTTATTATTTTTTTATATATTCTATTTTTAAAATTAAATATATACAAATATGCCTAAATCAGTATACCACAATAAATGCACAATCAATTTTCTAAAATCTGTATTTCTGAAACTTAGAGTATTCTTCTGAAAGATTTCCCAAAAAATCACGAACTATATTATAATCCAAAAGTCAAAAAATTTAATTGACTTTAATAGTTGTCGGTTCCAGCTTGACCCAGTCATTTATTGAGACAGCCCAAATATAATAAATACTACAAGGCAAGAGAAGAAACTTTTAGTGAGTTTTCTCTAAAGCTAGTCGTTAGCAACTGATTTAACTTTTATGAAGTTACTCATCATTGATAAAGTTAGGATAATTGTGCTGCTTCACAGTGAAAGGGAAAGGATTAAATTAGATACTGCATATAAAAACAAAGAGCACATGACATAATTGACTCATTAAACTTTAGTTTCTTTTTTCTCCTCCAAGTGACAAGATTCAATTCAACAGAAATTTATTAAGTACTATCTATAAGCAAAAATTTTTTCATGGAAAATGTCTGAATGCAGTGCTGTAGTGTCTGACTATTGACAGTCATCCAAGCAGCTTCTTTTAGCCTCAGTTTTCTTATATCTAAAATGGGATTGTAATGCACACCTGAAGAGTGTGAATTAAAAGAAGTTTTTATAAAACACTGTGTATATAGCACTGTGCCTATCTATAGTAAATGCTTAAAAAATTGTAGTTATTTTTATTTTTTATGCCTTTCTAAAGTGCTTATATATAATAAAAGCATTCCTAGGAAGTCTTAACTAGAAATTTATCATTTTCTCAAACATGTATTCAGTTTAGGAACTGTAAAATCCATTTAGCATATAGAGATTATTTTTGTTTAGTTTCACAGAACTTTTCCTAGTAAAACATCTAATGTCATGATATACATTTAAACTAAGTACAATTAATAAACACATTTTCTGATATAATTCACCAAACCTTTCTCTTCTTGTTCCAAACAGGTAATAGTGATATCTTAGGCAAATAGTCATTTTAAACTGAATTACATCTATTTTGTAAGGTTTCTGGGTAACTCATTTATTTTTGTCTAACCTTTGTCTGCAAAAATTTGGTTACATTCATTCTTAGAAACATTAGCCACTAAAGAAATTGTGCCCTCAATGTTATCATAATACAGCTTAGCTGATTGCTTCATGTTCTTGACAATTGACATTTTTTGCTGGAATTAAATAGTTTCATTGACAATGACATGGAAATAGGTTTGGAATTCTTTTGGGGAGGATAATCAGGTACTGTGATTATCAAATACTTCACCAGTCACTTTTAAGTGCAGAGGTGATTAAAGCATCAGATATGTTGAGCACA